GTGACCTGGACGACAGGCGCAAGCACGGGAGCGGCGGCGCGGCGATAGCCCACTTGGGAGGCATCTCGTTGGAAGGAAATCTGCGCCACACCAGCGCAGAGACCCCGGCGGCGCGGCACGGAAGCCAAAACGTGTCGTGCGTTCAACTCGAGCCAGAGTGTTTACAGTCCTGCTGTGGAGGAAATGTTGCTGCGGCCGCGTTCTGCGCCATGGCCCGCATAGCCGTCGCGCTCGGAGACCACCCCCTGCGCACCCCCTACGAGGTCGAGAAAGAGCCACACCTGCCACGCCCTGCGTCGAGGCCCGCGTAGACGCCGCGCTCGGAGACCACCCCCTGCGCACCCCCCCTACGAGGTCGAGAAAGCGCCACACCTGCCACGCCCTGCGCCATGGCCCGCATAGACGCCGCGCTCGGAGACCATTCCCTGCGCACCCCCTACGGGGTGAGGAAAGTGCCACACCTGCCACGCCCTGCGCCATGGCCCGCATACACGCCGCGCTCGGAGACCACCCCCTGCGCACCCCTACGGGTCGAGAAAGTGCCACCCTACGCCTGCGCCATGGCCCGCCGCCGCGCTCGGAGACCACCCCCTGCGCACCCCCTACGAGGTCGAGAAAGTGCCACACCTGCCACGCCCTGCGCCATGGCCCGCATAGACGCCGCGCTCGGAGACCACCCCCTGCGCACCCCCTACGGGGTCGAGAAAGTGCCACACCTGCCACGCCCTGCGCCATGGCCCGCATAGACGCCGCGCTCGGAGACCACCCCCAGCGCATCCCCTACGGGGTGAGGAAAGTGCCACACCTGCCACGCCCTGCGCCATGGCCCGCATAGACGCCGCGCTCGGAGACCACCCCCTGCGCACCCCCTACGAGGTCGAGAAAGTGCCGCACCTGCCACGCCCTGCGCCATGGCCCGCATAGACGCCGCGCTCGGAAACCACCCCTTGCGCACCCCCCTACGAGGTCGAGAAAGTGCCACACCTGCCACGCCCTGCGCCATGGCCCGCATAGACGCCGCGCTCGGAGACCACCCCCTGCGCACCCCCTACGAGGTCGAGAAAGTGCAACACCTGCCACGCCCTGCGCCATGGCCCGCATAGACCCCGCGCTCGGAGACCACCCCCTGCGCACCCCCCTACGAGGACGCCGCGCTCGGGAACACCCCCTGCGCACCCCTACGAGGTCGAGAAATATCCACACCTGCCTCGCCCTGCGCCATGGCCAGCATAGACGCCGCGCTCGGAGACCACCCCCTGCGCAGCCCCTACGGGGTCGAGAAAGTGCAACACCTGCCACGCACTGCGCCATGGCCCGCATAGACGCCGCGCTCGGAGACCACCCCCTGCGCACCCCCTACAAGGTCGAGAAAGTGCCACACCTGCCACGCCCTGCGCCATGGCTCGGAGACCACTCCGCGCACCCCTACGAGGTCGAGAAAGTGCCACACCTGCCACGCCCTGCGCCATGGCCCGCATAGACGCCGCGCTCGGAGACCACCCCCTGCGCACCCCCTACGAGGTCGAGAAAGTGCCACACCTGCCACGCCCTGCGCCATGGCCCGCATAGACGCCGCGCTCGGAGACCACCCCCTGCGCACCCCCTACGAGGTCGAGAAAGTGCCACACCTGCCACGCCCTGCGCCATGGCCCGCATAGACGCCGCGCTCGGAGACCACCCCCAGCGCACCCCTACGAGGTCGAGGAAAGTGCCACACCTGCCACGCCCTGCGCCATGGCCCGCATAGACGCGCGTCGGGAGACCCGCTGGCGGACGACCCCCCTACGAGGTCGCCGCGATCGGAGACCCACTCCCTGCACGCATGGTCGAGAAAGGGTCGAAAAAGTACCACACCTGCCACGCCCTGCGCCATGGCCCGCATAGACGCCGCGCTCGGAGACCACCCCCTGCGCACCCCCCTACGAGGTCGAAAAAGTACCACACCTGCCACGCCCTGCGCCATGGCCCGCATAGACGCCGCGCTCGGAGACCACCCCCTGCGCACCCCCCTACGAGGTCGAAAAAGTACCACACCTGCCACGCCCTGCGCCATGGCCCGCATAGACGCCGCGCTCGGAGACCACCCCCTGCGCACCCCCCTACGAGGTCGAAAAAGTACCACACCTGCCACGCCCTGCGCCATGGCCCGCATAGACGCCGCGCTCGGAGACCACCCCCTGCGCACCCCCCTACGAGGTCGAGAAAGTACCACACCTGCCACGCCCTGCGCCATGGCCCGCATAGACGCCGCGCTCGGAGACCACCGCCTGCGCACCCCCTACGGGGTGAGGAAAGTGCCAGCAGGGAGGGAGGCGAGGTGAGAGCCGCGGGTGCGACGCGTGTGGGTGAGGAGAGGAGAAGACGGAAGAGGGGAAGAGGGAGGTGAATGAGTGAGTGAGAGAGCGTCGCGGGTGGGACGCGGCAGGGAAGGAAACCAGAACCCGGCGAAACATGTGGGGAAGAAAACCAGAAGGAGGAGGGAGAAGCGGGTGCGGCGCGGGTTAGAAGAAGACAAGAACCCCACTAAGCATGTGGGGAAAAACCGATGGACGTCCCAGGGGCTTCAGGGTTGGGCTTCTTGTGGAAGGCTTCTCGTGGTCGGGTCCCTACTGTCCGTCGCTGCCCTTTATAACACCCGCTCGACCCGCCCCGCCCGCCTTGGAGCCCGGGATGCCACGCACCGGCGGGTTGAAGGGGTTGCGCACCACCTCCGCGCGCCGGACCCCGGGCGCGCTCGCGCGTCTGGCCGCGGCCGGACGGGCAGGCTTGCGGGGGAGAGGATCGGTGGCGGGCGAGGGGGGGGGAGAAGCGCTCGCGACGAAGGCTCCCTGGAGGCAGGGGGGGCGCCCAGGACGTCCCCCGCGGCCTTCGCTCCAGGGCCGCTCCCCTGGCCCCTTCCTGCGCGCGGCCAGCCAGTTGGGGGAGAGCGGGATGTGGGGGCGCTCCCTGGCGGCTACACGCGAGCGCGACCCTGGGCAAGAGTCTGCGAGAAGGAGGAGGCTTTTCTGAGAAGCGCCCTGGCCTCCCGAGAAGTGTTCTGTGGTTTCGGGGGAGGCTTGGGGGAACTTCTCAGGAGGCCGGGTGACGTCCGAGCCCTCTGAGAAGGCCCGCACCTTCTCACTTCACCCCCGGGCTCGCCACCGAGGAAGGGGCGAGGGGGAGACTTGTTTGTCAACCGTCCTCGCCAAAGGGTGGCGAGAAGACCGTTTTCCCAAGAACAACGCCGGGAGAGAGCGCCAGGGAGCGAATGCGGGAGAACGGAGCGAGATGCCCGATGCGGTCGAGCGGCGGCTGGCACTAGACACGAGCTGTGCAAGCACAGCCCGACACGCACGACGAGGGAAACAACAATAACTTCACAAGCCGCTCCGGCGGGGCGGGCAGGGCGGGCGGCAGGTGGGGGGGTGGGGAAAGGGGGCGGAAGGGGGAGATTGCAGCAGACGGAGATGGGGGTAAAGATGTGTGTTCCGCCGTCGGGGACGCCTGTCCTAGGGCGGCTGGAAGGCTTATGCCGCGAAGCACCACCGTAGGGGTAGAAGCTTTCCAATCGCAACCACAACAAGCGTCCCCGATGGCGGACCATGTATGCTGTACCGCTAAACCCCCCCCCTCCTAACCTGACGCCAGGGCCCGTAACCCGACGCCGCCCCCGCCGGCAATGGACCCGGCGCTCTTGAACGTAACCTGACGCCACCCCGCAGAGGCACTCGCCCGGCGCGCGCCCACCGTCCGGGCGAGAGTGCCGCTCCCAGTCAAGATCGTGGCTGGCGTTCACGTGTCTAGCACTTGGCCCCACGTGTCGCCGGGGATGGCGGATGTTGCTTCGGCGGCGGCATCGTCGTCGTCGTCAACGAAGCAACATCCGTCATCCCCGTCGACATGTGGTGCCAAATGCGTGTGATACCATGTGTTTGTGTCATATCTCTGCGACTCGACTTCATCAAATATGGCCCGCGCTCAAGCGGGAGCTTCATTTGGAGAGTCTTCGCGCCGCAAGCGCTCCCCAGAGCCCACGGGCACCGCCTTTCCCTGGCCAGGGTGCCACAGGAGCCCACCAGCAGCGGGGCCAGCGTCAGGTTAGGTGCCTGGCGTCAGGTTAGGGGGGGGGTTGTAGTCGTCCGCTGAAGATTGAGACGCAATTCCTGCGATGGCGCGAGATGGACCTGGACTAGCCTGACTGAACTGGAGTCCGCCGAATTTGACCAAGTGAAAAACGAGCGTCGGTGAATCCAACCTCCCACAAATTACAACCGAAAGGGGATGGAGACGATGAGGGCCGAGAGGAAAGATGGAGCCGAGAAGAAAGATGATGACGAAGAAAAGTAGGGATTAGTGAGGAAGGGCGGGATCAAAATGGAAAGGAGTGGGCTTAGGGATACATGGCTGAGGGCTGACGGGACTTGTCCACACGTCGGGGCCTGGCGGGTGCGGCGAGGGGAAGCAAATTCCAGGACTGAAACAAGCACACATGCATACCTCCCCGCACACGCACACACAAGGACAAGCACAAGCACAAGCACACACACACACACATCTTGGCGGTCGCGGCCTCGCGCGCGCCGACGAGTCAAACAAGTCAAGTGCGGCAGCCGAAACCTAGGCCAACACGCACACATACACAGACTCACACACAAGAACAAACAGACAGACAGACACACACACACACACACACACACACGCACACACACACACACACGCACGCACGCGCGCACGCACGCACACGAACGCACACACACACACATACACTAAACGGCACTCACACACAGGCACGCACAAACACGCACACACATTCCTACACACACGCACGCAGAAACACGCACACGAACGCACACACACATACACTAAACGGCACTCACACACAGGCACGCACAAGCACGCACACACGTTCCCCCCCCCACACACACACACACACACACACACACACACACACACACACACACACACACACACACACACACACACACACACACACACACACACACACACACGCACGCACGCACGCACGCACGCACGCACGCACGCACGCACGCACGCACGCACGCACGCACGCACGCACGCACGCACACGAACGCACACACACACATACACTAAACGGCACTCACACACAGGCACGCACAAGCACGCACACACATTCCCACACATACACACACACACGCGCACACACGCACACAACCACACACACACACACACACACGCACACACACAAACACGCACACACGCACGCACACACGCACGCACGCACGCGCGCTCGGGCACTTAAACACGCACACACCCACACACGTGTATACATATATATATATATATATAGGTGAGTGTGTGCATGTGCGTGTGCGTGTGGGTCGGCGCCCACGTGTGCGCAGAACCGCGGGGAGCACAGTGGTTGCGCAGCCGAAGACGAACAAGCGAAAAGGACGGACGGACCGCAGATACGCACACACGCTGCACCTCCAATCCACCCCCATCTCGCGCTTTGATCCATCTACTGTGACGTAAAGAGGATGCACGACAATAAGTGCCAAGAGAAAACAAACCACGACACATGACGAAACACTTGCCATAACTCGCGAATTCCTGGCTTCCTTGATCGAGACTACTATGAGGGATAACATGGATCGCTGTGTTTCATCTAGTCCCAAGACCGAATCCTTAAGAAAAGGGCCACATCAAAGATGGTCGCGGAAAGAAGCGAGATCGGAGTCGAAACCGAGTGTAATACAATATGATTGAAGACGGAAGCCGAATCAGCATCGAACTCGCGGAATGGCCCAAAAGACCCCTAGGACAGCTCAAAGACGGCCCACAAGGGTCCCAAGACCGCCACAGAAGCCCCGATGGCGGCCCCAGAGGGCCCCCGGACGGCGCCAAAAGGGGGCCCACGGGGGAACCCAGACCCACATTTCCAGCCTTCGGCCCCAGGACGCCCCCAAGTTGCCTCAGAAAGCCCCCAACACGCCCCAAGAAGCCCTTGGGGAGCCCGAACAGAGCCCCCAAACGCCCCAAGAACCTCCCAGGCGTCGGACAAGCCTCATGGATTGCAGTCCTGGACGCGCAGTAGTTTATAGAGGGGTCGGCGGATGTGGCGTAAGCCTATATAATCAGCATCGAACTCGAGGAACGTCAGCATAGAATCGGGTCGAAGTGCACCCTAGGATTAGGTCGGGCGTGTCCCCCTACAGACGGATTTTGGCGACAAATAAAACATATCCAAACTATGCTCAGAATAGCCAAAGAAAAATACTTCCCAAAGCACGTCCCCTGACTATGTCTGACTAGTTTTGAATTTTCCTCCTGAAAAGGGACACGCCCAACTTAACCCTCGCATGATCCAGGGCGGGCTGACGGAGAACCAGGAGCCCTGATCGGCGAACCGCACCCATGCGGAGAGATGCAAAACAACAGAGAGCCAGGCCCGGAGGGTGCTGATCTGAAAACGAGAAGTACGGTCATCGGGTTACCACACGAGGAGGAGGAGGAGGAGGAGGAGGAGGAGGAGGAGGAGGAAGGAGGGGGAAGGAGGGGGAGGAGGGGGAGGAGGGGGAGGAGGAGGAGGAGGAGGAGGAAGAGGAGGAGGAGGAGGAGGAGGAGGAGGAGGAGGAGGAGGAGGAGTGAACGACTGGGCCTTTCTGGCCACCTCGAGCCCCAGCCGCGTGTCGGCTCCCTGCCCCCCGCGCACATCGGTCCTTATGTTGGCGCCTGGGTCCTCAGACGGCGAGAAGACGAACACGACCAAGAGGCTGGGGAAGAAGAAGAAGAGGAGAACGACGATGAAGAAGGGATCGGAAGAAGCAGATGACAAAGACTGTGTTCGCCCGAAATGGTAAAGCACAAACCCTGTCTAGACTGTTATCTGGTGGCATATGCGAAATCGTCATAACCGGCTCCATTCGGTCAACCTCTTTCTGTCGGTCTCTTCCGAACGAACTCGCCCCAAAAACCATGGTCATCCACACCGTTTTGTCCTGGTCAAATTGTTATAAGTCACTGTCTTTCGGTCGTTCGTCTTGGGTGTCTGTGCATATCTACTGAGGCAGCATGCTCCGATTTCTCATCAGCCTCATCCTCGCTTCTGTTTCCTCCTTCTCCTCCTCCCCTTTCTCTTCCTCCTCCTCCTCTTCCTCCTCCTCCCGTTCCTCCTCCTTCCCCCCAAACCCCTTCTCCCGGTCCGACTCCTAATCCTACACCGCCTACTCCTCCTCTTCCTCCTCCTCCCCCTGCCGGAGGGAACAGCGGGATGGAGGTTCTGGGTACAACTCAAAATTAGACTCGAGATTTCTGTTTCTTGGCTAGCTCAGTTTTGCAGTAGGCTTGAGGCCAAATCCCACGAGCAGACCCAACACTAGAATCGCTACGACTACCTGGAACGAGTCTGGGACACTCCTGGGCTAACTGCGCAACCTGCTGAGCCAAACGACACCCATATACAGTGCAAAACCATACTCCCAACCACACACGATATCTGATTATATAGCTAGACTGCGCCCCCCTCCACCGGCGATATGCACCCACCGCTCCGGGGGGAGGGGGATCGAGGTCAACTCCGTCTACATTCGCCAAATCAAACATTGGAATTCGAAGTCAAGCCAATCATTGCATGTCGCTTGCGCTGTCGACCACTGGCACCTAACGACACGCCTACGTCGATTCTCTTGACTGGTTACGTCTTGGGTAGATCGGATAGCACATACTGGGGGGCAAGCGGTCTAGACTGGACTTGGCGGGCAACCTTCCAACCGACATTATGCTCGAGCTCTTATTCTGCATCAAGGGTCACAATCGTATTATGAAGGAGTCGCATAGCAATGAGGACGTATTTGCCCACAAAGATGGATGCGGCTGGGAGCATGTTCTAGCAATCTGGCCTGGTTCGCGGCCGCAGCCGGCTACTTGTTACAGATGTCGTGCCCCCCTTATCCCAATTTCCCCCCCTTCCTTCCCACCCCATCCGCATTCTCCTCCTCCTCCTGCTCCTCATCATACCTCCTCCTCCTCCTCCTTCTCCTCGTCCTCCTCCACCCCGCCCTCCCCTTTTCTGCCATTTCTTTTCTTCCCCTCCCCCTTGACGACGACGACGACGAAGACTGTGACTCGACTGGCGCCGCGGCCTCCTGCTTCTGGCTACCGCCCACGAGCCCTGTGTGGCCCGCGGTGTACAGCACCTGTGCGCGTGCAGGAAGGGAATCTGCACACACCCTCGGGCCCCAATGTATGCGGGCACGATTCACAGATCCATTGTCCACTGCGCCTTGGATCTTCTGGGAAGGGGCGTCAAAAGGACGAGGCGCAGGGGACATGGACGACAATCTGGCCTCGAGAGGAAAGATTCATATCCATGTCCACTGCGCCTCGGGCATCTGAGGAGAAGAACCCGAAACTCCAAAACGCAGGGTATTTTGATACGAAGCTTGCCGTCAATGATAAACAATACAAGTACCCCTCACCCTTTTGAAGGGGAACCACACCAGGAGGCTCAGAAGCATGAAACATGTCTCCGACGAAACCGCCCAGATGTTCAGGGATAGCCCTGCAACCTGGAACCTGTGTTGGGCGAATAACGCATTGTGTTACTGCGGTTCGAGGCTGTATTACAGTGATGAATGGCGCAACAAAGGCCACGAGGCCCCGAGAGAAGCGGGCCCAGAACTTTTGCCCGCCGCCCTCGGGCTCCGGGGGCCCTGCCCGGGCGCAGGAAGACTGCCTGCCTCTCGGCTGGTCGACGCGAGCGAACCTCCCGATCCGTCCGGCTGAGACCGCAGCCTCAATACCCGCGGCTGTCTCGGATGCTCCGACCGACCCCCCGCACGAGCAGCGTATGGCGGCCCTCCTTGCCCGCCACAGAGCAGAAGGAGAGGCAAGGGCCTCACGGGTGGTTTCACTCGGGTCGGTCCCCCATTGCTGTTGGTGGGGAGACCAAAAGGTAGCGATACCGCCACTCCCCTGACCTCTACCAGGGTGCGTTCTGACCAGAATTTCGAGGCGAACCCAGCGGTGGCGACGAGGGCCTCCCAGGAGGCCCAGACAAAGGAATTCGGGCGACGGGTAGAAGTATGGGCATCTTTTCCTCCGCTGAGCTGGTGCTTTCACCTCCCGAGCTGTCCATTTCGCTGCGCATGCATCCATCCATCCCCAGGCGCAGGAGCCGTCGAGAGACGACTCGGGATGGAGGGGCCCGGTTCTGGGGTGGGGTCCAAGCGGCCCCTGGGCCCAGAGCCCGTCTGCCTCCGGGCCCGCCTCTTTCGTGGCAACCGGGGCGCCGCGTAGAGCTCGGCGGTGGCATCCGGACCCCCCCATCCAAACTCGCTTCTTTAGAGGGCCAAAAATCCACCCCCATAATAACCACCCCGACACGCGAAGCCGTTTACTAAACGCCCCCACTAAAGGAATCGAACAGGGCAGGGCTGTTTAGTAAACGCCCAAGGTCGTTTAGTAAACGCCAATTGTCCGGTCCGGGTGGTGTTTCCTCCCTTGATTCTTCTGGATCGATGGGAGGCGGAGGTAGGGGTCTCGGATTCCGACGCGTGTTCGATGAATGCCGAATCCCACGCCAACGTCTTCGCATTCGGCGTTTCGACACCAGGGGCGGAAGGGTGAGGGGGGAGGGGGGGGGTTGGCTCTGGACCTCTGCTGGATGCGACTGTTCGCAGCAGTGCATCCTACGGGGGAGACTCTACCGACTTGAAACAAGCGCCAAAAACGGCCAAGATCTACTCCATGGGGGGGGGGCTGAGAGGGCCTGCGCCGATCGGCAAAACAATGAATAAAGAAGACGATCACCACCCCCGCCGCCCATCGTTGAGCAGGGACCGATCGTCCCGGCATTCCTATAGGCCTACCACGACATGTTCCTAGAACCCAAGAGTACTCGAAGAACAAGAACAATGTCCTCAGAACAGAAACCCGATGCGTTGAAACAAGACGGCCCCAGCCAGAAAGGTTCTCAGAACATCCCGCGCAGACCACAAAAGGTTCTTAGAACATTCTTGGGTAGGGCTATAGGCACGCCGCCTTAGTGGGCCCTGGAAACGACAGGGCAATTTTTGGTGCCGGTTCCGTTTTGCCGTTTTTGTTGCCGGATCCGACGCCGTTGTTTTACCGGTTCCGTCGCCGCTTTATGACCGGCTGCGGCTCCATTTCCAATCCTGACGCCGTTTTTGTTGCCGTTTCCGGTCGCCGCTTTTTTGCCGTTTCCATTTTCAAGGGGCACTTTTTCGGAAACGGTGAAAAAACGGCCCTGCCGTTTCCCGGGCCCACTAAGCGCTGCAGGCCAACCTCCTTCAGGACCCCTCTTATTCACGGCGATCCTTGGCGCCCTCCCTCGAGGAACAAAAGAACATGGCATAAGCATAAGCTGGCGCATGTCGGCGCGAACCACCGAAAATTGATGTGTGTGTGTTGTCGTTCGGCTCCTTTATCTCCTTTGGGGTTAACGACGTCTGCTGTCCCTTGGCACGCGCTTGAACTTCCGTGTTTCTAGATCTGTCTAGATCTACCTGGCTTTATTTGGATTTGCGCAGATCTGTTGATCCGATTGGTTGCTGCGCGCAAATTGATTGGTGGGAGTAGAGACGTCCTGCCCTCCAGCTGGACCCGCCGGTGCACGCTGAGCCACTGCCGTGAAAAACGGTGAAAAGACGGCCCTGCCGTTCCCGGGGCCCGCTGAGGGCACGCCAAGATGCTTCGCCACTGCTCGAGTTGACGGGGGAGGGTCGGGGTTGGAGTTCGCCCGCCGAGCGCAGCGCGCTGCCTTTCCCCCTCATGCCGTGCGGGCCACGAGGGCGCAGCACGCCGGCGGGGTGGGCCAAAACTGCACACGAGCACAGGTTGAGGTCGGGCGTGTCCTCCATGCAGGCGGATTTTGGACGACAAATCACACATACACACAACAGGATTCAAAGATGTGCAAACATGCAATGAGCAACACAAATCATCCCCAGACCACTTTTGTGTTTTACTCTTTTCGAGCATTCCTCCTGTAGAGGGACAGGCCCGACTTCAGCTTAGGTCGACTGCGCCCGAAGCCAGAGCCGTGAGAGCCTGGGCGACGGGCGGGCAGCGACGAGCAAGGGGATTCTGATATCCGAAGCTGGCTAGACCGGGAGATCCTCGGCTCTGGCAAACAGAAAAAGCAAGGCAAAAGTGCAAGCGCGCATGACACGACAGCACGCAGCGTAAAACTAGTACGGGTCCAAAGCACGAGCCAGGCGAGGTCCGCGAAACGCCAGTGTGAAATACGTGCAACTCGGGAACACACGGGTACGAAACAAGTAGCTGTAAGTCGGGCGTGCCCCTCTACAGGAGGAGTTCTGTCCGAGGGCAATGTTTCCAGCACTTCTGATCCCTGTTGGGCACGTTTTGGCCAGTGTTTATTTCTCGTCCAATAATGCCCTGCCCGACCGAAAAGTAGCTGGCCGGGATCTCTCGGCAAGAGGAGCGGGAGCGCGCTCCCTCTCCCCACCGAGATGGTCCCCCGAGCTCCCGACAGAAGGGTTTAGTCGGGCGTGTCCCCCTACAAGGGGATTTTCGACGAAAAATGAAAAATACTCAAAACCTTTTCCAAAATGGCCAAACAAATGCTCAAAGAATAGTCCCCAGACTCTGTTTGAACCATCGTTGCATGTATTCCCCCTGTAGAGGGACAAGCCCGACTTAACAGAAGGGGGGTGCAGTAGCTCGCCTGGAACCCAGGCGGTGCCGGCCACAGTGGCGCCTCCGAAGGGGCACCGCTGCAGCGCTTGGCAATTGGGCGGCGCGTAGCGGCGGGACCACGAGGCTGCGCAGTGAGGACCCGAGGCCCCTGGACACCCGAACTGAAGTCGAAACCGGAAGCCACTGGCCCGCGGCTACGGGACAGGATGGGCCGGGAGGAGCGGATGCACGCTTGGGCTGTGCGGTTCTGAGGCTGCGTGCGCAATCACCTCACTCACCGAGGGACGCGTAGCCTACTCAACTCCGAGCCGGGGTTCCGCCATGCGATGAAGAATGGGTGCGATCAAAAATCCAAGGGCACACAGGTCGCCGATGGTTTAGCTGCCTGCGGTGCCGCAGGGCTTCCGTGGGTTCCCAGGGCCATCGGGGGAGAACAAAAATGGGGTCTCTGATGGCAGGCTGGTATCCTCCGACCCCCAAATCCGCGCGGACCTCCAACAAGCCGATGCTTCTGCAGTGGTATCCCTGGGTGCCGCTATGGATGTAAAAGGCATGAACTGTTGCAGAGAACATGGCAAGTATGAAAGCGTCTACGATTGCGCTTAGCAATTTCTATTAACACTTAAAATGGGAAATATGAGCATCACAGAACAGGCCGTGAAAATTCACGTAGTGACCTGGTACGTCAGGTTCGTGTCGTACCGACTTCGGCGTTGGCTCCTGACACCGCGGGGATCGTTCAACCTTGAACGATCGGCCGTTTCCGAAACGTCCAAAATCGTTCCACATCGGACGATTCTGGGTCGCCCGGGGCGTTCAAAATCGAACGCCGCCAGCGGGGTCGCCGCCGGTCGACACGACGCGAACCTGCCGTACAGCAGGACGCGCACGCTGCGCGCCAGGGAAAAGCACGCGGCACCCCAGCAACAACCCCTCAAGGAAACCCTGGCCAACGCAACTGCAGGGGCAGGGCCTCCCAGCATCGCGCGCACCCCGCGCAGAAAACGCCAAGTTACGCTTCCGTGCGCCTCCTCCCTTGTCTGTGGCCCGCGACATCCCTCCTCGCCTTTACTTGGGGAACGAAGAATAACAGGAACAAGAAAACTCGGAGGTCTACGCGGAGTTCTTGGATCCGCGCTGGACCCCCCTCCCTGGCGCGCGGAGCGCGCCAGGGGCGGCGCCGGAGGCGCCACCCAGGGATTCCAGCGCGGATCCGAGAAATCCGCGCGGACCTCCGAGTTTGTATGTTTACGTAATTCTTCCTTCCCCTGTTTACCTTCACAGTACTCCTCCCGCTGCTGCGGCATTCGACGCAACACTCAAAACTCGACTGCTCGACCCAGTTGCGAGAGGGCGCAGGGGATCTTCTGACCTGGGTCAATCCAGACCCGGGCCAATCAGGCCTCGCAGAGTCCTGACAGCTCCTGTAAGATCCTTCACCCAAACCCGGGCCCATGCGAAGGATCCTGCAAGACCCTGCAGGATCCTGCAACCGGACTCAGTCAGTGCGGCCCTGGCCCTGCAGGATCCTGCAAGATCTGGCGCTCTGGCTGATATCCGTTTGCAGTGATCCCCGTCTCTTCAGCCCCGAGATTGAGCAGGAACCGACCGTCCCGGCATTCCAATAGTCCTACCACGAAATGTTCTTAGAACCCAGAAATCCTCGAATAACAAAAACAATGTTCTTAGAACATAAACCCGATGTGATAAACTAAGACGGTCCCAACCAGAACTGTTCCAAGAACATTTCGTGGGAACCACAAAAGGTCATTATAACATTGTTTGGTAGGGCTATAGGCACGCCAGGACGCTTCCTCACTGCTTGACGAGAGGACGCTGGGGAGAGGGGACCGGCCAGCGAGCGGGGGAAGAGGAGGGGGGGCGACTGCGCGGGCGCGCCAGGCCGCGCCGCCTCGGCCGAACTGCGGGCGAGCGGATCCCCAGGGACCGACACGCAGTAGGGGCTCCACCACGAGAAACCTTACACAGGAAGCCCGACCCTGAGACCCCAGGATGTGCATCGATGCTTGGTGCGGGAACGGCACGTTTGCCATAGCAGAACCATCGAAACCCAGGAAACCCAGGGCACCCTGGAGGCAAGCAGGGTGTTTCTTGGCATGGGTTTCCGCTGTGTAAAAACGTCCGCCCAGAAGAGGCACATGCGAGCGAAACTCACGGCAAATTTCGAAAACAATCGGAGCGCAGGGTGAGCGCGAATGGCCAGCAAACGTGCAGTAAACATGCAGGGCTTCCTCCAAAAGCCCTCTGGCGCTCGCTTGCGCTCACCCCGTGCGCTCAAAGAGAAGACAGCCCGAAATCAACCAGAAGTCGACCAGCGCTCGCCCTTGTCCCCTCAAGACCTCCAGGGAGGGGGGAGCCAGCAGGCCTGCGATCGCGGGCAGTCTGGCGGCGTGCGAACAAACGACGCTCTCGGTCGTCGTCGCGCGCGGCGGGGCACCGAACACAACAAATCCAGGCGAAAGCCTGGAGCTTGCACTCTAACTCGGTGGCTCGGGCCCCGGGCTCGAGCTTCGCCTGCGAATCTCAACTCATGTTGGCCCACCCTGGAATCATCCAAGATCACTCATCAGTGCTTGGATGTGCTGTGATCTTTGCTACGGTGAACCCCACCCGCGTAACCAACTCAACATTACATCGCCAATGGCGAGTCGGGGGTTCAAGCAATACGTGTTGTGTTGCTCTTCGGCCCAGGCCACCTGACCGTGTGTTGAGCAGGGACCGACCGTCCCGGCATTCCAATAGTCCTACTACGAAATGTTCTTAGAACCCAAAAATGTTCTTAGAACAAAAATAATGTTCTTAGAACATAAACCCGATGTGTTAAAACAAGACAGTCACAGCCAACCATGTTCTAAGAACATGTCGTAGAAACCACGAACAAATTCTTAGAACATTGTTTGGTAGGGCTATAAGCGAGCCGGGACGCTTCGCCACTGCTTGAGTGTGGCGACCTCGAGATCCCACAAAAGACCTCACCGCAAATACGGTCCGTCACCGCGCCGCCTCGGGACATGTTGGGAGGTCCTAGTCGCCCGAGACGACCTCCTCGGACATGATCCCAGTCCAAGCGTTATGTCGGGCCTGTCCCCCTACAGGGGGATTTTCTGCGAAAAATAAAAAATACCCCAAAAATACTCCAACATGGTAGCAAAAATACTCAAAAAATAATCCCCACACTATTTTTGGAATATGTTTTGACTATTTTGGGGGTATCTTGTATTTTTCATCGAACATCCCCCTGTAGGGGGACAGGCCCGACTTAATCCAAGCGCCGTGCGGCCACCCCGAGTCCCCACCGACTCACCCGACGGTGTGGTCGTCGCACCGCTTCGGGACCTCCGATCATCTCGCACGCAGTGGTCTGCTCCCCAGAGAGACAGGGGGTTCCTTGGAAAGTCTTGCAGATTCTCCACATCCTCCGCGTCTCCTCCGCTGCCTGCTCCTGCTGATCCTGGCATCTCCTCCTCCTCCTCCTCCTCCGCTTCCTCATCCTCCTCCTCTTCCTCCTCCTTCCTCCCTGTACCTCCGAACTCTCGCTCTCCCTCCCTCTCTCTCTCTCTCTTTGTCTCCCTCCCTCTCTCCTCACCTCCCCCTCGTCACTCTCCCTCCCGCCAGACCCTCCCTCCCAGGGCGCGAGCCAACCGATGCCTCCCGTGCCGGTCTTGGCTCCGCTCGCCCCCTCGTGGGGTCTTCGCTCCGCCCTCGCCGCAGAACGACAGCACAGCGAAGACGGCCAACGACGGCGCCACAGCACTGCCCACCTCGCGCCCTGCTCCCGCCTGCTCTCCCCCTGCCGCTCCTGTCCCTCGCCGCCCTCCGGAGACCTCCCGGCTCCCCCCCCCCCCCCTCTCGCCCCTGCCCCGCCCCGGGGGACCCCCCCGAGAAGGGCCACAAGCAGATGGGGCTGGCGGATCGCGCTGGGCCAAAGCAGCTGGGGCTGGCGGATCGCGCAAGGGTCGCCGATGCGTCGCGGCGACGTCGGGAGGAGAACGCGACGTGCTCCGAAATGCGCGCCGGATCGCCTGGTGCGGCCCGCCCCTCCGAGCCTGTCGGCTCTGGCCCCAACGGTGGGGGATGGATGTTCCCCCCGCTACGGTGGGGGCACTGGAGAAGGAAGCATTGGATGAGGGATCCAGGGCCTGGAAGCCAGTGGAACTCCGATGGCGGATTGGCAGTGGATGTTCCAAGGGCTCCCAACTTCGCGCTTCGCACTGCGCGAAGCGCGAAGTGCAAATAATTTCGCGATCTCGCGCCGCCTCCCAGGGGAAAATAAGACGAGGAGGAATCGGAACCGAACCACGAAGCGCGAAGCGCGAATAACTTCGCGCCCTCGAGGGCGCCCTTGATATTCCCGCCGCCCTCGTCAGATAAGGAACCCTCCAGGGTCTGAAGCCCCCCGGACACATTCCTTGACCAACGCCCCCACCGTAGCTTTAGGTCGAGCATGTCCCCCTACAGGCGGATGTTGGGCGAGAACTACGACACAGTCAAAACATAGAGCCGAACAACGTTGTCAAATAATGATCGAAACATCGTCCCCAGACTGCTTTTGCCACTGTGTTTGGATATTCCTCCTGTAGGGGGACGTGCCCGACTTAACTGAAGGGGCCCTGGGACACACAAATAAATACACACAAATAAAAATATTCCCCATACTTTCCAATATTTTCTGGGTTTTTGCCTTCCCCCCACTTCCGATATGTTTCCATATTTTCTGGGGAATCGACGATTACTTGTGTCTGTGTTTTTTCCCCTCCTGATGAACGCTGGTTCCCCCTCATCTGCGGATCGTGAGGGCAGCGGGTCCTGGACCCCGGGGCTCTCCCCCGGGCGCGTCTTCGGCATCCTTCAAAGCGCTCTGTTCGCAGCTTTTCCTGGCCAGGGGAGGACTCTGGGCACCCGAGGCCAACGAAAGACCTGCAGGCCTTAGTGGGCCCTGGAAACGACAAGGCCGTTGTTTTACCAGTTCAATTTTGCCGTTTTTTGTCAGTTCCGACGCCGTTTTTGTTCGGTTCCGTCGCCGTTCTTGTACGGGTTCCTGCTCCGGTTCCAATCCTGGAGCCGTTTTTGTTGCCGTTTCCGGTCGCCGTTTTTGTTGCCGTTCCCATTTTCAAGGGGCACTTTTTCGGAAACGGTGAAAAACGGCCCTGCCGTTTCCGAAGCCCACTAAGCTGCAGGCCCGTCTCCTTCAGGACCCCTCTTATTCACGGCGATCCTTGGCGCCCTCCCTCGAGGAACAAACGAACATGGCATAAGCATAAGCTGGCGCAGGTCGGCGCGAACCACCGAAAATTGATGTGTGTGTGTTGTCGTTCGGCTCCCTCATCTCGTTTGGGGTTAACGACGTCTGCTGTCCCTTGGCACGCGCTTGAACTTCCATGTTTCTAGATCTGTCTCTATCTACCTGGCTTTATCTAGATTTGCGCAGATCTGTTGATCCGATTGGTTGCTGCCCGCAAACTGATTGGTGGGAGTAGAGACGTCCTGCCCTCCCGCTGGACCCGCCGGTGCACGCTGAGCCTGCACCGTGCCCTCCCCGTCGAAGCCCTCGTCGTCGAGGGACAGGGCGTCCTGCCAGCCCGGGCACCGCCCCGGGGGGGGAGAAGGGGGAAGAGGATGGGGGGGAGGGGGGAAGAGTGGGCACGGGGAGGAGGGGAAGAGCGTCGGTGGTGAGGGGGAGGAGGAGCAGGACGAGGGGGCAGAGCAGGGGGAGGATATGAAGGAGGGAAAGGAAGATACCGAGATGACTGGAGGGCGCTCGGCAATGGAGACGAGGTGGAGCAACGCCCGCGTTTCGGTCCGCTGAGTGCTCTGCGACAGCCCATGCATCCCTCCTCCTCTCCTCTCCCCTTGTCTTTCCATCATTCTCACTCAGCCCATTCCACTCCACAATCACCCCCGCCCCGCCCCCCCTGGGATGAGAACCGCGCGCGCGGGAGGCCCAAACAGCAATGGGCACCCTGCGTCTACGCACTTCTGCCTTGACAGTGATGCCAGGTCTCGCGCATGTTGTTTTCGATGTCCCCTGCCTTCCCTTCCTTCCCCTGCCTCTCCCCTGATCACCCCCGCCCCTACCCGCGCTCACCCCCCGCCGTCACGCCTCTGGCACTCCCGCCGTCAGCCTGGCGCTTTTTCGCGACACCCCGTCCTTTCCCAGACCCCGCCCGCGTCTAACCCTGGAAGGTACACCTGCACGATTACGCCTGCTCTTTCCATCGGGAAGGTACAGCTGCGACCTGCTGTGCGTACGGCGTGTCTCGTGCCGCGGCGTTGCGAAGCAATTGCTGCGGCTCCTCCTCCCAGCTCCCGGCTCCTCCCTCCCGTCCTGCCCCCCTCCCTCCTCATGCACAGATCCTTCAGCTGCTTCCCTTTGTAGAGCAGCCGCATGTGTTCGGGCGCGATGGTGCTCTCCTCAGCGACAAGCTTCTTGACGTCGCGGACGGCCTGAGAAAATGACGGGAGGATGACGAGGGTGCAAAGAATAAGGATAAAGAGGAGAACGCGAGAGGATGAAGGGGGAGAGGAGAACGAGGAGGAGGAGGAGGAGGGGCAGGAAGGATGAAAGCGATGCTGAAACAAATAGGGGCCCCCTGACGTCCTGGCAAACATAGTAATGAAGAACTTGGGTGGGGAATAACACGCAGAGGCACACGGAACGATGTACTGCCTCCGACGCAGCTTCCTTTTCATTTCGCGCCTGCATGCTGCTGCAACTTAGCCTATCTCCACCTCCCCTCCCTCTCTCTTTCTCTCATCCTCATTTTTCCCTCCACCATCCCATCCTCATTCCGCTCGCACCTGCCCTCGATCCTGTTCCCTTTACTCACCAGGAGGTCCTCAGACTTCTCTGGAATTCCCCGGAAGGCCTTCGGAGCCTCTGCTTCTGACGGAGCTAGTTTCTCGAACCAAGGGAGACAGGATGGAGCGAGGCCTTCTTGGCGGTTGCGCCTTCTATAGATTGATTGGAGGACCTGCTCGTTCCGTCTGGCTCGGGTGACCACTCTGAAATTGAAAAGCCATCCGAAGCAATTCGATGCCAATTGTCCAAGGCTGCCCCAGACCATGCCACAACCCGTATTACATTACAACTGATTGGAGCTCCCGAAGCAACAATCAATTCGAGCTCGAATCAACGCGCACCCCCAAACCCACGAACCAACCCCACGGAGGCCACCCAAAAGCGCCACACCCACTCTCCAGAACAGAACGACAATATCTATCGGTTCGGGGATAACTGTTCGGAGTAGCGTTGGCTTGCTTGCCCGCCGTTTTCTTTAAAATTCGGCTCTGGACCCAAAGCCGAGGATCCTCGGAACAGGTCATGCTGAATTACTACGGACGCGCACAACCAGCCAGCCAACCAACACACCAAATCAACCGGCAACCATGCATACATTCCCCAATCAAAGCTTGCCTCTGTAGGGGTCCTAGCGGATTAAAGGGTTAGATGAGGTTTGTCGCCGATTTCGGTGGCCGGGCCTGGGTGCCCGGGTGCCCGGCGGTGCCCGGGTGGCCGGTGAGGTGCGTGGACGATTTCGGTGGCCAGGCCCGGGTGCCTGGGTGCCCGGGGGTGCCCAGGGGTGCCCGGGGGTGCCCAATAGCCCAATAGCCCAGTAGCCCTATAGCCTTATAGCCCTATAGCCCTATAGCCCTATAGCCCAGTAGCCCTATAGCTTTATATCCCTATAGCCCGAATAGCCTTATATCCCCATAGCCCTATAGCCCTATAGCCCATATAGCTCTATAGCCCTATAGGTCACAGTCCTATAGCCCGATAGCCCTATAGCCCTGTAGCCCGATAGCCCTACAGCCCGATAGCCCTATAGCCCTATAAGGGAGCAAGTGGAAGATTAAGACATCGGATTGTTTTTTTCTCCGGTATCATGTATGTGCATATACACATATACACATCTACATCTATATACATAGACCGATGTATATAGATATGAGAGCGTGCGTTTCACGGGCACTTGCCTTGGGAACATTCGGCAGCGCGTTTCGAACCCGGGAGTGGGCCCCCCCCAGCACTCGGCGACGTCGATCAGAACCAGGGGGACTCTCCTCCCCCCTGACCCCTTCCCCTCTCGAACCCCCCCCCCCTCCCAAGGGGAGGGGGAGGGTTCCAAAACGCCTCCCCCCCGGCGCCGGCGCCGGCGCTGCCTGCCGCCGTAGCGCCAACGCAGTGACGATGACCATAGAGAGCCCAGGAGGGAGGGGGGGGGAGCGCCCCCCCCCTGGCGCCGGCGCCGGCGCTGACGGCCGCCGTAGCGCCAACGCAGCGACGATGACCAGGGAGAGCGCAAGAGTGGTGAGGGGGAGGGTTTCAACCCCCCCCCCGCGCCCGCCGGCGCCGGCCACAACAAGATCACCACAAACCACCACACCACCACCACCACCACCACCACCCACCCACCCACCCACCCACCCATCCACCCATCCACCCATCCACCCATCCACCCATCCACCCATCCACCCATCCACCCATCCACCCATCCACCCATCCACCCCATCCCCACCACCCACCACCCACCATCCACCACAACCACCAGCACCACTACCAGCAGCACCATCACCACCACCAACCACCATGCCACCACCACCACCACCACCACCACGACGACTGGCACCATCACCACCTCAACCCACCACTACCACCACCAAACCACCACACATCCAGCACCACCACAGCCACCACCACCACCACCAATACAACAACCCACCACCACTACGACCACCATCACCACAATCTACCACACCACCACCATCACCACAGCCACAACCACCACCACTACTACAAGCAGCACAACCCACCACCACCACCACAACCGCCACAAACCACCTCACCACCACCACCACCACCGCCACCACCACCACCACCAGCCCCGCCGCTGCCGCCAGCCGCCGCCGACGCAGGCGCCGGCACGAGGAGAGGGAGAGAGGAGAAGAGAGGGGGGGGCGGGGTCGAACCCCCCTCCCTCTCCATCCAGGGGGGGGGGTCCGGTTCCAAGCCCCCCCCCCCTCCAAGCGACCACAGAACGCGCTCTTTCATATTGATATATATATATATGTAGAGAGAGAGAGAGGGAGAGAGAGAGAGAGACCGTCGCCAATCAGCCGAATTGCCAGCCACCCAGCCAAGGGGCATGAACACCAACCAACTAACCGACCAAGCGTGGCCATGCAGGCAATCTGAGGGGAAGGGGGGGGGGGCGGCGGCAGACGACGAAACACGTCAGACATGCGTGCTCGGGTCACGCGCGCGCTTCGCGCGGTTGGGTCCCAGCGTAAGGCAGGACTACAATGCGACACACTCGGTGTATGCTGGGGTCCTGTTACGCCGAACTTGAGCCGTCCTGGGGTCGCCCCACTTCTCCCTTGCTCCTCCTTCCTTGCTCTAGCCTGCTTCCTCCACGTTTACTTATCCTTTTGGTTGCTGTTGAGGGCCCGCGTGGGGGGCATTTTGGGCCGCCTTTGGCCCCCTCCCCCCCCTAGGAACGTGTTGGGGATATCATAGGCTCTCCCAGGGCCGTATTGGGTAGTGTTAGAGGATATGTTGCCTCTGGGTGCATGCGCGAAACTCCGTAAGGAGGCACTGTGCAGAGAAACTGAAGGCTCTAATGACTTGAGGCACAATCCATGACGTGTGCGCGTTTTCCCTGAAGAGCATTGGCTTGCAGACGCATGCAATTGCCACACACGACGTTGCAAGTCTGTAGAGACAAGTCCGTACTTACGAAACGAAGGATGCATGGAAAACAATTGCAACGGAGCGCATTGCGCTGCAACATCTTCGGCACCAGGATCCTTTCTGAGAAGGGTCGTGCTATATTCACCTTTCCAGACCAGACGACGAACATGAGGTATATGCCATCAGCAACGTTGCTCAGGACAGGCAGGCAGAATATAAGAAGGGGCACCAGCATTGAGGGATAAACCACGTCTCCAGGGCAGAAGACACGACGACCACATCACCACTGGTAGCCTCAGCTAGAGAGGATGAGGACCGTGCATATGTTGCTCCCATCGTACTTCAGGACCACATCACAGAAATAATTTCGAGCTCCCAGACAAGTATCGAACAAGTGTCGAACAAATATCGCCTCCCAGGGCCCGACACGTGAAAGAACTCCAGTTTCGGTACTTTCTCTGTGCTCGAAATCATTTCTGGTGATCAAGGCTAAAGTAGGTTGGAACATCGCAAGACCATGCTTTCGTCATTTTGGGGGGATCAAGAGGCGTTTCCGTATCAGCTGCTGCCGTAGCGGGCCTCCCTTGCGCAGTCTTGGGGCCCCATGGGGCCCTGGGCACCTCCTTGAGGTCGTTGTGGGGCGTTGCCAGCTGTCCTGACGGGATATTGGCTGCCTCTTCGAAAAAATGAGGCGATCAGAGCAACATTAAAGCAAGAATACACCCCAAAGTCGAAAGACAATCAGTTCAGGTTGCCTCGCGAAGGCCTGGAAAGGCTCCTATTCGAGCTCCCTGGGCCCATAAAGAAGGCCTCTTGGCAACCGTTCTGGGCTGTCTTGAGCCGTCTTCGAGGCGTTTATGGTGTCATCGAAGTCTTTTGTCGCTTACTCGTGCCCTCTTCGTGATTCCTGGGCCTCCCTGGGGACCTCAAAAGCCGCCTTCAGAAGCCAGGGACGGGCCTGGGAGGTCCTGGACCAGGTTTCGGGGTTGACGGCCTCGGTTGTTTTACCCCCTATTGCCTTGCCCTGTACTGTGTGTATGTGTGTATTGATCTTGCATTAGAAGGCTAGAGCACACATGACTGGAATCACGTGCGGAACAGAAGGCCATCAACTGGATGCACATGTGAAGACCGAAATGCCCGGCCGTAAGAAATGCCAAGCGCTGAAATGGCATCCAGCCATATGTGTATCTAGCTCTTGCCCAGGCCAGCTGCGGCATGTGCACTCAGCTTCCTAGAATGCCTCAGTACTCAAATTCCACCGATCAAATAATCGTGCAAAACAAAACACAACAAAATAAACATAGCCTTTCGGAGGTCCGCGAGGATTTCTTTTGGCGGCGCTAGACCCCCTCCCCTGGCGTCTTCTCAGGCGCGGGCCCTTGCGCGATCCGCGCGACAAGGAGAGGGGTCCAACGCCGATCCAGGGAATCCGCGCGGATATCCGAAAGTTACTGTTTTTGCGGGTATGGTTTCTATCTACATCCACTGCGTCTTGGACTTCCTGGGGAGGGTCGCCGAAAGGCCGAGGCGCACTGACTATGTATAAGAATCTAGTCTCTAGGGGCCAGATGTTTATCCAAATCCTCTGCGCCTCTGGTTTCTGGAGAAGGAAGCCTGAAACCTCAAGACGCAGTGGAGATGGGCACAACTCTTGACGGCATGTGTGAGGATGTCTCTTCATCCAGACCCTTGAGACCCCGTATGCGAGGCCTCAATGGAGGGGCAACGATAGGGGGAGACTGGCATAGGGGGGGATGCATCGACCTGGAATCGGCGATACATCGCCGATAGATCGGCGATAGGCCTCCGATAGTGAATCCGCACCTTCCTGGGCAGGTTCGGGCTATCGGGCCCCTATCGGCGATCAATGGGCGATTGAGGGGCGCTGCACCTCCCCTATGCGTATCCCCCCCCCCCCCCCTATCGTTGCCTCCGCTCGAGGCCCTGGGCGGTGCCGCGAGAGGCCTTCGAGCCTGGATCCTGCAGGGGCAGCATCGGCCAGCACTGACGTCGGGAGACATCGGATCAGCTCGGAACGCGTGCCGGCTCGGGCTGCAGCGGCGCGGAGTCGACACTGGTTCGCACCCGCCGCGCCAGGATGCACTGCGGCGCCACGCGGGCGTCGGGCCGCACCGGATCCTCGGAACGTCGGAATATGTGAATCGAACGGTTCGGTGGGAATTCATGGGAGCCTCCCATACTTGTCGGCTCTTGCGAATCGACGCTGATCGACGCTAGTCGACGCTAACTGACGCTAAATCGACGCTCATCGACGCTGAATCGGCGCTCTCCCATTGGCTCCCAGACGCTCATCGACGCTAACCGACGCTAGAGACGGAAATCAAGGGGGTATACCAGGCCCCCATGACTTGCTACCGAAGAACGAGATCGGATCGATCGGCGTCGCAGCACACTCCAGCTCTGCAGGCGGGGGCGGCCGAGCGCCGTGGACGTCTCCAGCTCGAGCGTGAAGGCCTCGCAGCCGGCCACCTTGAAAACGACGCTCGCGGGCTCCGCGCTGCAGGGAGGGGCCGGAGACGACGACGACGACGACGACGACGACGACGACGACGACGACGACGACGACGACGACGACGGAGAGGACGACAAACGACACGACGACGAGGTGCGAACAAACGCAGCGCTGGCGAGGGATGGGGAGGACGAGGGGGGAGGGGTGGTCATTCTCGTCCTCCTGGTCTCCTCCTCTTCCTCCAACCCTTGCTGCCTGTGTTAGAACAAAACATGATGGTATAATGCGATTGGCCCAGGACACGTCCCGGGAATCTCAGAGCAAGCAATGGCCCTCGTCTCTGGACATCTGGGGGATCTGGGAAATCCTCGAACTCAAAACTAGGGAGAACATCAGGAACCCATACCGCTACTCCCAGGACCTCTCCCGGGGTGCGTTCTGACCAGAATTTCGAAGCGAATCCAACGGCGGCGACGAGGGCCTCCGAGGAGGCCCAAATCTGGGAAAATGGCCGAAGGGTAGAGGTATTGGTACTCTTTCTTCCTCTCGGTATCTGTGACATCCTGGAACTCGACACTACCATGCCGTACTGCCCCTCTGATCCCGCCCCTCCCAGTCCGGCGGGCGGGGCCCGTCGGGGCTCGGCCCCCGCTTCCACGGCTTGGGCCGGGGGCGGCGCGGCCTGTGCGCCAGGGCCCAACGACATTGGGCCGCATCACCAGGACCCCTCCTCCTCCTCCTCCTCCTCCTCCTCCTCCTCCTCCCTTTTCCTCCTCCTCCTCCTCCTCCTCCTCCTCCTCCTCCTCCCTTCCACTTACTCCTCCTCCTCCTCCTCCCCTCCTCGACTCCTCCTCCTCCCTTACCCTCTTTCCTCCTCCTCCTCCCCCTCCTGCTCCTTACGTTCCTCCTCCTCCTCCTTCTCCTCCTCCTCCTTCCCCTCTTCCTCCTCCTCCTCCTCCTCCTCCTCCTTACCCTCCTCCTCGTCGTCCTCCTCCTCCCTCCCAGAATCAATCGGCATCGCGACGGGATCGCATCTGAACGCGCGTCGGCATCCGCTCGGACATCGGACACCCGGGGGCCCAAGCGCCGCCTCCCTAGGGGCCGAAGAAAAGAGAAAGAAAGAGAGAGAGAGAGAGAAAAGGAAAAAAAAAACACCCAAGCCGGAACGCTGCGGAAAAAATCGAGGAACCGACCCCCTTCGTGGGACGCAGCAGGGCACACCAAGACTGTGTGCCCTCGTCGAGGAGGAGGAGGAGGAGGAGGAGGAGGAGGACGAGGAGGAATGGGAGGAGGGGGAGGAGGAGGGGGAGGAGGAGGAGCAGGAGGAGGAAGGAGGAGTGGAGAGAAGGCGAAGGAGTGGGGAGAAGGAGGAGGAAGAAGAAGAGGAGAAAGAGGAGGAGGAGGAGGAGGAGGATAATAATAATACTAAGGCAGGAAGAGGGGGGGGGGGAAGGAGGAGAAGGAAGATGAGGAGAGGGAGGAGGAGATACTGAGGACGATGAAGGGGACGAGGCCACGTGTGGGCTTCTTGGGGCTCTCTTGGGGCCTCCTCTGCGTCCGACCGACCAGGTAGTGCAACAATTTCGTAACGCATCGTTCCCCGAGCGGTGCGGCCAGAAAACGCAGGCCACGGATCATATACTCGAAAATTCCTCGGCGCACGCGACGCACCTCTTTGGGGGCGACGCACACACACGAGGGGAATAGAACAGGACGACAGGATAATGATGAGGAGGACAAGGGGAGGAGGACAAGAGGAGGAGGAGGTGGAGGTGGAGTGGAGAAGGAGGAGGAGGAAAAGGAAGAGGAGGAGGACGAAGGAGAGGAGGAGGAGGAGGAGGAAAAGGAAGAGGCGGAGGAGGAACAGGACGAGGAAGAGGAGGAGGAGGACAAGAAAAGGAGGAGGAGGAGGAGGAGAAGGAGGAAGAGGAGGAGGAGGAAAAGTAGGAAGAAGAGGAGGAGTTATATACACGACCGCACTGGGGCTCAGTTATAAGGGGTCAGGTTGCTGGCAGCTTCGGCTAGAAGAAGGGCACGATGGGCCAATATCTGGTCAAACCCGTGGCTGGCAGGGGCGCTAAAACTCGCGAGGCGTGTGCACACACGGGGCTCGAGCGGCGAGCAGAGCGCGAGTGCCAGGCACGTGATGCTTTATAGTCCAAAGGAGCGGGGCGCCTCTTCGTCGGCATCCTCGTCGTTCGTCGGCTGATCCGACTGAAAAGACGGGGAATCGTCCACTGGCGGTATGGAGGCCGCCTCGCCCCTAACCGAAACAATTGGCGGTAGGGAGGCCGCCTCGCCCCTGCCGCGCGAGAAGAGGGGGGAGAGCTGGAACGCACAAATCGCACAGGCGTGCTCAGGGCGTTCATTTCGAGAGGACGTCGACCCAGCATGCGAGCTCCTCCTCGTGCCAGCCAGGCGGCGCCACGCCCGTGTGGATCGTCCCCTTGTTGTCGAGACGGATCGCCGCCAGCACATGGGTCCGCAGAGACCACCCTTTCATGGCCACGATCACCTTGGCGTCGGTATCCTTGTAGCATCTCTCGAGGCGCAGGAGCGCCATGTGCTCTTCGATGTCCGTGCGCGTCACCAGCGGCTCCATGTCCGCGTCCCGGCCGCTCTCCCCGTTGACCTTCGCGAGCCATTCAGTGAAGAGCTCCTCGCGCTTGCCGCCGATGTCGCGCTGGGTGAGCGCCTCCACGACCGCCGCCCTGAGGCTGGCCGTCGGCGCGCCCAGGGCCTTCAGCAGGGTCGTGGAGTCCGTCGCCTTGCGGACGCCCTCGATCTGGTTCCGAAAGCTCTCGACCTCGCCCCCGAGCGCGACCGCGATGGGATGCGCCGTCGGGAAGATGATGGCGCCCACCGTTGTCGCCATGGCAACGCCAGCTCGCAGAGAGAGAGAGAGAGAGAGAGAGAGAGAGAGAGAGAGAGAAGAGAGAGAGAGAGAGAGAGAGAGAGAGAAAGACAAAAAAGAGAGAGAGAGAGAGAGAGAGAGAGAGAGAGAGAGAGAGGAGAGAGAGAGAGAGATAGAGAGAGAAAAGAGAGAGGAGAGAGAGAGAGAGAGAGAGAGAGAGAGAGAGAGAGAGAGAGCGAGAGGGAGAAAGAGAGAGAGAGAGAGAGAGAGAGAGAGAGAGAGAGAGCAGCAAGTCCAAGAGGTTCTTGTCCTGCGACGTCCACTGCTTGTCGCTCTGCTGGCCGCGACGGCGACGGCCTCCGCGGCGGCGACGCCGGGGCTCGCCCGTCGCGGCGGCGGCCTCTTCGCGCTCCGCGGAGGCTGCCGCTCCGCGCCCGCCGCCCCTGTTGTCCTTCTTCGCCTCCTTGGCTGGCGGCCCCTCGTCTGCGGCGCCCCCTAAGCTTCCTCAGTCACCGTTGCCAGACTGGCCCGAGGACTTCGGCAGGCGCCAAGCTGCGCGGGGCTTCGCCTTGTCCGCCATCGAGTTGTCCGTCGGGGGCGTCAGGGACCACAAGTAGAACAGGCGTGGCAGCAACACGAACGTGAAGATGGTTTGCATCCCCCCTGGACGCAATGCACCCGAAGGTCGGCGGCGCGGCCGCCGGCCAGCAGACGCCGCGAGGCCAGCCGAAACTCGAAGCGCGCGCTGGCCGCATCGGTGGGTGTCCACGAGGATCGCGCCCGCTCCGCAGCGGCCGCAGGCAGCCCAGGCGCCGAAGCTGTTCGGCGCTCACCAGATGCTGGGGGCTGGAGCCAGGGGCCGAAAGGAGACGGAGCGATGTGGGACGCCAGACGCTGTCGGAACGTCTCCAGACTCGCGAACGGTGCCCGACACTGGTGGTCATCCGAAACCTGGGAATACGGACGCAGGCGGATTTCGGTGGGGATCCACTCGTACGCGTGCCGAGTCAAGTTCGGGAGACAGCGAGCCTGCAACCATGGCCGCCTGCGATGTCGAACGGCGTGGTCTACATTTGCAAAGACAGCGCGGCATGCCAGACAGTGGTGATCCACAGTCGCCGTCGTCAAGATGGGAGGCCATCCGTGGCCAGGAGCCTGGGGCTGGACCTGGTACATCGTGAGTTTGTACAGGATCTCGAAGCGCATAGGGCATCCCTGGGTCCCGCAGAGCAGTTTTGTTTCTTCGTCGTCCGAATCGCCTTGTACAGCGTCATCCCCAGGAAGCTGCCGTGCAATCGGTGAGGTCCCAGGGGGGGCCCATGACTTTGGAGAGGCATCCCGCTTGGAGGGCTCGGGGGTCACATGCTCGGAAGGCGACTTTGACATGTTCGTCCCGGAACGGCTCTCGAAACCGAGGGGGGCCCATTCAACTCGAAGTCGTTCGCCTACAGGGCGCAATCGAAGACATTCCAGATCATCTCGACACTGGCGGGCCCAAGGGTGCACGCGCGGGTCCTGTCTGAGAATGCGGTCCTCGTGAATCGGGGGGGGGGCTCGACGCCGCCCATGGTGTTCTCGAACGCACGCTGTCCGAGCATCGCTGCTAAGAAGTGTGGGCGGCGTGTAGGTTCTTGGACCAGCCGCCGCAACCGCGGGAGCCGCCGAATCATCAAGTCAGTCACCGCGGGGGCCATGGACCAACATTCGAAGACCTGACGGGTAGTCCACGAACGGTGGGCGCGCCTCTCCTCGTTCTCCACGTGGGCACGACCCATTGCCATAGCTCGCATATTCTTCGCGAGGCTGCGATCAATGCGCGCAACCTCTCCTGGGACAGGGCAGCGCGACTCCAATCCCGACCATGCGCGACCAGCGACGCGGGCAAGAAATGTCATCCTCTTACTGGCGATAGAGGCAGGGGAAGTAAGGAAGCGAGAATGCATATTCCACCCCGCATTACATGACCGCATTCGTTGAGTGACCTCGCGGAGATTCGACCGCCCCTCGTTGACATACCCTCCCAAATGGAAAAAATAGTGACGGCCTTCCCGCTCATCTGTTGCTCGGCTTGCTTCGTCGCTTGCGTTGCGCTTAGCTTCGCAGCGGCGTCTTGCTTGGCGACGTTCTGCGCATGTCCATCGGGCCCGAGCTCACCGCTGAGAGCGCACGGGGCGGGAACACGACCGCAGCC